CAGGCGGGAACCGGCAGCACCCTGGGGTCTGAACCGCGGCTTCCGCCTTCCCTGCTCGCAGAGGCGGTGGCGCCGATCCCGGTCTCATCCTTTGCCCTGTCCCCTATTCCTGTCCCTGTCCCTGCCCCTGCCTTTGCGGTGGCCCGAGCCCCAGCAGCCTCAGGTGAGCCGGCAGCATCCCGATTCCCTGGCGGCCTAGAATGGAATCGCAAGGTTTAGAGAAATAAAGGGACCTGGGACTTGCCGCCCCTTAAGCGCCTGGACAAGTTTCTAGGTGCTTGAGGGCTGGCTGGATGTGGACAGCTGAGGTGGACTTCTACCTGGAGGCGGAGGATAGACTGGATGATAGGGTGATGAGGTCATTTGAGGCCTTCATCCTTACCTCTTTGGCTGTCTCCTGGCAAGGGAGGTGTACAGCCTTGGGCTCTGGCAGTCTGCTTTCTGCCCTTGATCTTCTGGTAGCTGCTTTGCCAGCAGAGCTGCTAATGGCTGGTCTAGGCTGGCAGAGGTCGTTGGGGAGAGTTTTGAGAGGCCTTGGAATAGGAGAGGCTTGCTAACTAGAGTATCATTTCCTCAAACTGTATGTGGCTGAAAGCTTGATGTCGACACATCAAAAAAGGAGCGGGGCCAAAGCAGGCAGAACAAGGAGGGATTTTAGCATGGTCTTGAGCCCTTGCTGGCTTTCCTCTGGATGTGGTGACCAACATTTGGCCATTGTCATGGAAAAGCTGCCTGCAGCTGGAACCTGCAAAGGAGAAATTCTTTCCTTGGCTGTGCAGCATTAAGGCCGAGTGTTAGTGGAGCCGTTGAGCCAGGCAGACAGAGCCTCTGTCACTTCACACCTCTGGGACTGTTGACAGCAGGTCTGGGGGTAGTTGACCTGGCCTGGCTGCAGCTCCATGGGGCCTGGCTTGCTCTGAAGATGATGGTATGGGACTGCCCTCTCTAGGAATGATGACTCTTGCATAGGTGGTGGCTGGGAGACTCTTTCACCTCTCAGCCCCATCCTTAGCTCAGCCTCAGTCTTCTAAGGTTCTCCTAGCTCTCAGCTAGGTCGAGAAGCTCTTTGAGAGATAAGGCTTTTTTTTATTTTTTATTTTTTAGTTTTTTGCCTCTACACTGACTGGATCACTCTTCAAATGACCTCAAAATCTGTCTCAGGTGTTGAAAATGTCATGGGCAGATAATATGTAGCCTTCAGGTTAACAGGGAGATACCCTTTCTCCCCTAAAGCTGCCCATTGGCCTCCATGATTCTTCCACCAGGTATAATAATCTCTTAGTTCTTCTGTATGCTGGTTGCATATCTAGGACAACAGACAATTGCTTTGGGCTTTTGATTTGTAAGGGACTGACTGGGGCATGGGAAGATGAGCTCATGCTGGAGTCCTGGCTGTGTATAGTCACTGAGAAGTACCATTCATAGGAGAGAAGGATGTTCCTTCTGCTGATCTGGCTTCACATTTAAATATGTTTTCCTTCTTCCTGCACCCAGGTTATAGAAATGGAGAGTGCCAGGCACATGGTGGTGCTCAATAAATAAGGTTGAATAAAAGGATTCAGTGTCTAGATAAAACTTCATGTTCATTTTCCTAGTTATACTCTCTCGTATCTGATATAATGATAATGACAATGATGTTGACAGATAATGCTTATAAAACACATACTCTATGCCAGGTACCAGTCTAAACACTTTACGTATGCTTGTTGTCATGGTAACCTATGAGATTGGCTTATTATTATCCCCACTTTATAGGGAATAAAACTGAGCCACAGAAAAGTTATTTAACTTGCCCAAGGTCATGCAACTAAGTGGTGGAACAGGATTCAAATGCAGGGAGTCTAGCTGGAGTTTATTTGTTTGAGATGGCGTCTCACTCTGTCACCCAGGCTGGAGTGCAGTGGCACAATCTCAGCTCACTGCAACCTCCACCGCCTGGGTTCAAGCGATTCTCCTGCCTCAGCTTCCCAAGTAGCTGGGATTATAGGCACCCACTGCCACGCCGGGCTAATTTTTGTGTTTTTAGTAGAGATGGGGTTTCCCCATGTTGGCCAGGATGGTCTCAATCTCCTGACCTCATGATCCCCTTGCCTCGGCCTCCCAAAGTGCTGGGATTACAGGCATGAGCCACCATGCCCGGTCATTATCTTTCTTGATGAGACACAATTTGATTCCATCCTCTTCTGTCTTTTAGAGTTTGTAAGGGGTGCTTAAGTGATAAAAGGGGATGCAATCTAGTCTCTTGGGCAGGAGAAGCAGGCCCTGTGTCTGGTTATCATAAATTGTCTTGATGTTTGTTCGAAATGGAAATAAGGCTTTAGCTTGGGATCAGTGGTCTTCAGTCCACAGAGACATCTTGGCTGCAAGGAGCAGCAACAAGTTACGCTCAAGGTGGAATTGCGAGGTCCTGAGAAGAGCTTGCTCTTCTGGGACAGAACTGTATTTTTCTTCTAAACTGCTCATGTTCTGGAGAGTCTTCCCTCCGTTTGGCTTCAGCAGGACCCTTGGCCATTGTTACAACCTGTGTCATCGTAGTGGAGCTGCTGCTGGTTTCTGTCTGAACCTGATGCAATGGGTCTCATACCTGTAAACTGGGCTCCAGGAAGGCAGCTTTCTCTAAGTTGGAAAATGAAGACTCAAGGTGGAGGGTGTTTCCCAAAGCCCATGCCACAAGATATTAATAGGTGTTTCTTTCCTATGATAGCAGTTCTAGGATGGTCAAATAAGTGGATCGGGTTAAACAAAGTTAAGCAGCTTTCTTTACTGCAGAAATTCTCAGGTGTTGAATCTGCTAGTAGAAATTGTGCATGAATACCCATAAGGGACTACGGGATGCAGTATTTTCGAAGTCTTCTGACCTTTCATGTTCTGCAGACTGCACTTTGAAAAATGCTTGTTTAGACTAAGGCTAGTTGGGATCTGGTTAAAGGTGCAGAATAAAATTCCCTGAACGTGTTGGACTTAAATCCTTGGGCTGGAATCCTTCCATTGCAGTCCCCACTCTACCTCCCCCTTCCCCAAAACACGAGCAGAAAAAAATCATCTGCCCCTCCTCCTTCTGGCAGAATAGTACTAAGGGCTTGAATTTTTTTCTCATACTGTAAGTTCATTTAATTGTTTAATGAATAAACATTACCTTCCCTCTAGGTAGCTTGTAGCCTGCTGATTGCACTGTTTATGAAACAGCTGTGAGGACAGGTGGGTCATAATCTCTGGGTAGCTAAAGCCCAGCAGCAGCCCGAGGATCATGTGTCAACCCTGTAATACTGCTCTGTGCACCAAGGAATTATGATGTGAGCTCAGTAAGACACAGCCTCACGATTGGACATGCAGAGGTGACTCAGGCCTAAGTCAGGGTTACAGCTAGCCTCCCGGTAAACAACTGACCCATCCTTCCTGGGCTCTTCTCCCCAGGATTTCAACAGCACCACAGAAATAGCCATTTTGCTCATGGTTATTTCCCAGACCCACGCGATTTGCCTAAGTCACTGGGAGGCTGTGTGTCTGTTCTGAGCCTTCTCACTCTTCTAAAGGGCAGATGAAGATCAGAGCTTTGCACCCTGTGATGCCATTTTAATTAACCCTGCTTGGTTTTAGAGGACTACTCCTGTGGGTCACTTGAGGCAGGCTCCACCTTCTCTAGGAGGAGTGGCAGAGTCCAGCCAGCACTCCGAGCTGGAGGCCCATGTGGGAGCCGTGAGCAGCTGTAAGCAGGGCAGGGTTTGGGGTGGGTTCCGGTGGGTCAGTTGGGGTGTACTCCTTTTCTGTGTGTGTGGATGGGGGTGGGGGTTCTGGTAAAGCTTGTCAGGCTTCGCAGTCACCTGTGATGTGGGCTTCTTTCTGGGAAGAAAGGAAGGAGTGGGATGGGGCTGTCAGCTTTTCATCCTAGCCTGCCCCTGTCCGCTGTCTGCCTCTCTGCTGAGGCAGTTCCCGCTCCCTGAGTCTCCCTGCAGTGCTTTCCTGGGAAAGGTAGAAGCAGTTCATGGTCTTTCCCTTCCAGAGGAGGAGGGGATGGAGAAAATTGTATTAGCAACTGGGATTGAAGCTCCCCCTGCCAGTTCTGGGGTGCCCTCGGGAGGGTTGCTTTTGGGGCGGCTTTCTGAGAAGAGGCAAGGCGGGCTGTACCTGAGACAAATCCCCTTGATAAAATGGACCCAGTTGTCTGGCAAGGCCTGAAGCACGTTCAGAACGGAAGCAGCAAAGGTGATTATGTCGCTCGTTGCTACTCAGCTTTCAGGAGGAGGCCGGGCGTTAGAGGGAGGCTGTGGCTTATCTCCTGCAGCTGGGCAGGACGCTGAGTTTACTGTTGTAATGAGGAAGCCGCCGCTTTAGTTTCTTCTTATGAGGGCTGTGAAGAGGGCCAGAACACTACATTTGGGATACTACAGCCATTTTGCCTTAGATAACTGGCATTACCTGAGGGACTTCAGGGGTCTTGGAAATTTTCCACTCATATTCCATTTTCACGAAAGAATTTCCAGCCCAGGCTTTTCCTGCTCTGGCTCACTGCTGCTCACAGATATGCAAAACAGAGACCTCCCACTCCAGCCGGCAGACAGGACCTAGCCAGCTGCACGCACGCAAGCACTGACTCAGCTGAGCCTCCTGGGCGGCAGGCAGCACCTGGCCCGGGTGCATCGCTTGAGTGGCATCTTCAGGACCAGTCATGGAGCCAGGCTCAGGTCTGTGTCGGGGCTTCTGCGAGGGGAGTCTGGCAAGAGTAGCAACCAGCTTCCTTTGTATGAGGAGGGAATTTCAGTGGCACTGGGTTTCCTTTCTGGAGGGAGTGTGGCACCATGAAAAGTTACTGTTTGTTGAAACTGGCAGTGTTTTAGAACTTTCTAACTTTGGGACTCTTCTTCAAGTTCATCGGAACGTGTTGCATGTAACAGTGAGATAAGCTGTATCACTGGCTGACTGATGCTGGTAAATTCACAGCTGAGCCTCCCAAGCCTGCTGGCTTTAGCTGACAAATGGTTGGAAGCCAGGTGCGAACAGGCAGCTGGAGCTGAAGCTCTGCTTGGCATCTGCAGAGTGGGCTTTCCTTGTCATGCCTGGCCTGGCAGGTGTCTGGAGGGTCTGAGAGGAGAGATACTCTGGAGGGACAGGTTGGCAGGTGGTACCTGTCTGCCAAAGACATCCAGAAGGCAGCAGATATGCGGGCAGCTGCTAAGGCCTGCAGCACCCCAAGGGGATTACTTGGTCCATGCTAAGATATGGAATTAATTCTTCTGTTGTTGTTGCTGTTGTTTTTTGCTTTGTTTTGCTTTTTTGAGAAAAGGTGTTGCTCTGTCACCCAGGCTGGAGTACAGCGGTGCCATCATGGTTCACTGCAGCCTCCACCTCCAGGGCTCGAGCAATCCTCCCAACTCAGCCTTCCAAATAGCTGAGACTACAGGTGCGTACCACCACACCTGGCTATTTTTTTCTTTTCTACTTTTTGTAGAGACGAGGTTCCAACATGTTGCCCAGGCTGATCTCGAACTCCTGGCCTCAAGCGATCCTCTTCGGCCTCCCAAATTGCTTGGATTATAGGCATGAGCCACTGTGCCCGGCCTTGGAATGAATTATCTACCAACTATTTAAGACACTGGTCGTAGTTCTGCAGAAGACTTTTATGGGTTCTGTAAAACAAAAAGGGTTCCGTAAAACAAAAAGCATTCTGTATGGTAATACTACTCTCTGATCCTTGATTTTTAATGAGCCTTGTGAATGTGAGTTGAGGGGCTGTGGAATGCAGCATCTCCCAATAACTGACTACAGGACCTGTTTTACCAGCAACAGGTATCAATTTCTTATGGCATCCAGTTTGGGAAAGGTTGATTTAAGCTAAAGAGAAAGGAAGATCTTTTATAGAAAGCTGTGTCCTGAAAAGTATATTTAGTTGATTGGAGCAAGCTAGAAATGCTTTGTGCGCCAATGTGATGGCTCCCACCTATAATCCTAGACCTTTGGGAGGCCAAGGCGGGCAGATCACTTGAGACCAGAAGTTCAAGACCAGTCTGGCCAACATGGTAAAACCCCATCTCTACTAAAAATACAAAAATTAGCCGGGCGGGGTGGTGTGTGCCTGTGGTCCCAGCTACTCAGGAGGCTGAGGCAGGAGAATCACCTGAGCCCATGAGGTCCAGGCTGCAGTAAGCTGGGATTATGCCACTGCACTCCAGTCTGGGCAACAGAGACCCTGTCTCTAAATAAATAAATAATAGATAAATGCGTCGTGAACAAACATGGCAAGATCTGGCATAAGAGCCCTCAGACATCAAGGACTTGCTTCCCCCTCCAAATACCCATTGCCAAGGGAGCCTGATTGGGGGTGTCTGAGTCAGGCCTGTGTGTGTCTGAGGGTATGGAGGAGGTAGGAAGGTGCTGGTGGTGGCGGACGGCTTCTGTCCAGGGTAGGAGCTAACGCAGAGATAGGTCTCAATGGTTAAACTCTCTTTGGCCTGGTCTCTCAATAGTGTGGGTTAGGCTGATCTCAAACTCCTGGCCTCAGGTGATCCTTCCTCCTTGGCCTCCCAAATTGCCTGGACAACATGGCAAAACCTCATCTCTAAAAAAAAAAAAAAAAAAATTAACCAGGTATGGTGATGCGCCCTCCCTCCCTTTGGCAATTAAGGAGGGAGCCCTAATTGCCAAAACCTGCCAGAAAAAGAAGTTTGATTTGCTTTCCTATTTTTCTCTCATTTCATAGAGTCTTAAGTCTACTCATTTTCTTTCTATTCTCTTTGTGTTTGTTAAAAATGGCATTATAATAGCACTCATCGTGAAAATAAAATATCCTCTCGCACACAGGCAGCCCTGCCACCTGGTCATTTTGAGTGCGTGAATCTCTTGCAGGTCTTGCCCATAAAGGGATGCATTTTCCTATCACTATAAATAAAGTATGGGTACAGTTCTATGTATTAATTTTTTCATTTACCGTATTTTTATGTTTTTTTATGTGATTGCACCATCCTCATAATTATAATTCTCATTACTTAACATCTTTTTCAAGTGAGTATGCTCTAATTTGGGCATTTTAAAGCTATTTATGTAAAGAATGCAGGTAAATATCCTTGTGCTTTTTCATTCCTAGGATTCTTTTTTTAAAAGAAATTTCTAGAAGTGGAGTTGCTTAGTCAAATCGTGTGGTGCTTTATGGCATTTGCGGCCTTTTGCCTGGGCCTGTTGGATGTCTTCTTCTGAGATGCAATGTGAGGTTTTGGGACAATGCTCTTGACTTGTGGCCTTGGCATAAGAGGGGGAGGTGAGGATCCAGCTTCATTTCAGCCTGATGGAGCCTCCTGGGTCTGGTTCTTTGTGCTGTTACAGACTTTCTCTCCCCTGTCACCTCCTTTGATGGCCTCCAGCTTCCCCACTCTCTGCTATCAAGACATGAAAATCTCCACAGTCAGCTCTGTTCCTCTTCCTCTTTGCAGAGGCCAGGCCTCACTGTCTTGGTGTCTGCTCCCCAGACAGTTGTGTGCTGAGAGGTTCTTCCCCACCAGCTCCCTCCCACTCCTCTCATCAGGGAGTGGCAGGTCCTTGGGTCTCAGAGTTAAGGGAGCCACAGACCTCGCTCTGATTGCCTGTTACTAGCCTGCTTTCCTCCTTCCTGTCTGTGTCATGACTTAGTCCCACAAGCCACTCAGACTCAGAGCAGCAAGCCCTCCTCAGGCACCGGAAATCTCTCTGGTACCTAGAATTATGCCACTTAGAGCTGAGAGGGCCTTAGAGACCACTTAGCTCAATCCCTTTATCTCACAGATGAGAACATTGTGAGGCCGGAGAATGCCCCAAGATGGCCTAGTATGTTCCTCTCCCCTGTAGTTGCACTTCTCCCTGCCAGACGGCAGCGGAGATCTGTCTCACCTTCATCCTTGTCTGTCTGGTCCACAAAACCACTTCTCTCTTTAAATCAACCTTAAAGAAACTGTGGTCATAGGTAGATGGGAAACTCCTCTTCCAGAGCTGCTTCCAGCGAGGGTGGCTTGTCGAAAAGTGTGCAGTATTAATCCATTCCACGAGTGTTATGCTAGGGACTGTGAGGAGCCCCTGCCTGGACATGTACATGGACAAAGAGAAGCAGCACAGCATGGTGGGTGAGGGCACAGAGGTGGGAACCAGGTGCCTGGCTTCAGATCCCTGAGCTGAGGATCGGAGAGGAAAGGGATGAGGAAGAAAGGCTGAGAACAGCACAAACCTCTGCTAACTTATTAAAAGTGTGACCCTGGGTGTGTTAGCTCTCTATGCCTTCATTTTCTCATCTGTCAAGTGGGAATAATAAGATTAACTGAGTTATTAAGTATGAAGTTCTTTGCAGAGTATACACACACATATATATATTATTTTTAAAATTGAGATGAAGTCTCACCCTGTCTCCCAGGCTGGAGTGCAGTAGTACGATCATAACTCACTGCAGCCTCAACCTCCCTGGCTCAAGAGACCCTCCTGCCTCAGCCTCCCTAGCAGCTGGGATTACAGGCATGCATCACCATACTTGGCTAATTTTTAAAATTTTTTTTAGAGATGAGGTTTTGCCATGTTTTCCAGGCTGGTCTCAAACTTCTAGGCTCAAGAAGTCCTCTCGCCTTGACCTCCCAAAGTGCTGGGATTACAGGCGTGAGCCACCACACCTGGCCCCAGAGTGTACTTTTTTTTTTTTTTTCTTTTTGACACAGAGTCCCACTCTGTTACCCAGGCTGGAGTGAAGTGGCTCAATCTTGGCTCATTGCAACCACCACCTCCCGGGTTCAAGCGATTCTCTTGCCTCAACCTCCCAAACAGCTGGTATTACAGGTGCCCACCACCACGCCCAGCTAATTTTTTTTGTATTTTTAGTAGAGACAGGGTTTCACCATGTTGGCCAGGATGGTCTCAAACTCCTGACCTCAGGTGATCTGCCCGCCTCGGTCTCCCAAAATGCTGGGATTACAGGCGTGAGCCACTGTGCCTGGCCAGAGCGTACATATTAACTGCTATATAAGTAATTGCAAACAAGAAAAGAAATAAGGAAATGAAGAAAGCAAGCAAGCAAGAATGAAACCCAACCAACCAAGCAGGTGATTAAGGCCAGTGACTGTTAGTAAGGAATCAGTATACGAGGAGGTAGATAGAGAAAGCTCCTTTGAGAGAGTGAGTTTTCAGCTGGGTAAAGAGTGTTCCTGTCCTAAAACCTTTATTTGCTGTGTCTCGTTAGGGGGTTCCAGAGGGTTTGAAACTGCAACAGCAGATTCTTTCTCTTCAGCAAAAGGCCTTGTTTTATGTAATGAAGAATGCAGCTTTGGATTTCCCAGGGCTCTGCTGTAATCTTGTAGGACCTTAGCTATTAAAGCCTTTGGACTTCCCCTCTGTGAAGTTGGGGAGTGAGGTTTGATTATTGTTGCAGCTATAACAGTATCCTCATAGTCTGGAGGAGGGAGAGCTGAACGCTCTCTTGTCCCTTCTCAAACGGAAACAAAGTCAGAGGGCAGGGCTGCCAGGTGCTGCAGGTTCCCTGAGTTTGGGAAAATGGAAGCCCACCTAGTTGAACAGTTCGTTCTTTGAATTTTGAACACTTGCTGTCTCCTGACGCGTAAGTGGCCCTACATGCTTCACATCCAGTTACTTATTGAGCTAATTTTGAAACTGGCATGCTGGGTTTGGTCTGGGGAATTCCTAAGTAGACAGTTGACCCCAAGTACCAGGTGGGCCTGGCCCTAACTTCAGTGCCTTCTCCTCCCCGGTGCTGTTGACTCAGGGCATCCCGCTATTCATTAAGTTAATGCTTGTTCTTTCTTTGCTAGCCGAGATGCCGCGGCAGTTTCCCAAGCTGAACATCTCTGAAGTGGATGAGCAAGTCCGGCTCCTGGCGGAGAAGGTGTTTGCTAAAGTGCTCCGAGAAGAGGACAGCAAAGATGCACTGTCCCTGTTCACTGTCCCAGAGGACTGCCCCATCGGGCAAAAGGAAGCCAAGGAGAGGGAGCTGCAGAAGGAGCTGGCGGAGCAGAAGTCTGTGGAGACCGCAAAAAGGTTTGTTCCCAAGGCTTGGTTTTCGTGTACATAGAGTCATGCAGAACCAGGCAGGCTGTGGGTGTGTGTCCTGATATGAGGCACCTCATGGAGACTGGTATGTCCCTGGAGCTGTGTTGGTTTCTTAACCAAGACCACTTAACTCACCTCTTATTTATTGAGGGATGTCTCGGTGCCTCTGTTACACTGAAAAGATCAAAACCCACTTTGCTGCTGATGTGTAAAAATACACACCATTTCCAAATGGCATTTCTCTTTCCTTTTTGGAAATTTGAGGATTTCTTAGGAGACAGCAATTGTACTTCTTCTCATCACTTGACAAGCATTTTGCATTACTAATGAATGCAGCTTACTATTTGCCAGGTGCTGTGCTGGGACTGGAGATGTTATAATGAACAAGATAGATAAAGTCCCTGGGTCTAGACAATAATTAAGTAACTGGACAAATTAACTTAAAAATTACAAGTTATGATAAGTGCTGTATCAGTCAAGGTCCAATCGGAAGATCAGAAACCAATGAAGTATTAGAATTTTAATGCAGGGAATTGGTTACACAGGTGATAAAGAGCTGAGAAACCAAACAGGGGAGAGAGAGGCAGCTCAGAGATTAGACACAGTAAGGAGCAGCTACTACCCCGGACAGGAGTGACAAGGAAAGCAGTAGTGTTGCTGGTGGCAAGGTGGGATCGCACTGGGGAAGGTAGAACTGTGGTGGCCTTTCCAGTGGAAACTGGAGCCAAGGGGAAGAGATGGCAGCTGCAGAGATGCCTCTCAAGGCAGAGATGGAGGCAGGCAATACCTAGCCTGACCTTTCCTGCACGTTCGAGGTTCTCCCAGTGGCTGCCATGGGCCAAACCTAGCCAGAATCCTGCTGGCACCCTTGGGAAACACAGGAGAGGATAAGGAATGGATCTGAGGGCATACAGGCCCAGGAGCAGTGCAAGTGCTATGAAAGGGATGAATAAGGAGGAAAAGGGGTTGGGGGAGAGAGAGGTGGGGAAAGAGACAGAGAAAATCCTTTTTTAGACTGGAAAGTCAGGGAAGGTCTCTCCAAGGAGGTGACATCTTAGCAGATGCTTCAGGGTATAAAGGAGCTAGCTATGTGGGCTTCCAGGTAGAAGAGTCAGCTAGGGCAAAGGCCTCCCAGTTTCTTCGAGGAGGCTCATGTGGTTAGAGGTCTGTTAAAGGAAGAAGTGCTGCGGCCAGGGTTGGAGGACTTGTGGGGCCCAGATCAGACTGGCCTTGTGCTCCCTGATAAGAAGTTTGGATTGGAGTCTAAGTGTAATGAGAAGCCCTCATCCTTTCACAGTTTATCTCACCCCGGGCTCTATCTAAGTTTCCGCCTGGTCTTCCACCCTGCAAACATCAATAGTTGACATGGTAGACCTTTGAACCCTCTCGGACCTAGTCCGTGATCACAGTAGATACTGCCTCAGTTTTAAAGGCAAGTCTTTTCCTGTCTTGGTTATGTAGAAGCTCAGCATTTCCTTAACTCGTTTGGAAAGAAGTAAAAAGCTGACTACTGGTGTAAAGGCAAGAACAGAGCTTCACCACTCATAAGACCAGTGCTTTCCTTCCTTGAAAGGATGGTGAGCCCATAAAGGCAGGAGTCATTGGTGCCATTGGTCAACCTCTGAGTGCCAGCCTTGTGTTGGAGAGGGTGGGGTGGCCCCGGCCCCAGCAGTGTGCTCATCCCTGGAGGGTCAAGAAGAGTATGACTGTAGAGACTCTCATTCACACTCCATGGGTGGAACAGAAGGGCTGACTTCATCCACTGAATGGTCTGCAGGGCCTTCTGTGTGTTACGAATTGAGCATTTCAGACCCTTAACAATGAGAGGGAAAGGAATCCTGGCATTTTTTATTTCCAGGAACAGTAAGTTTCTAGGACCAGTTTCCACTACAGAGTGACACTGGGCCTGACATCTGCTGAAGAGACCGTGCTCTTTTCAATGCCCAGACTCAGGGCGAAGTGAAAGCTTTCTTACTCTAAGTCCGAATGGTGCTCTGTGGTTTCCAGAAATTCCCCTGCAAACTTCTCTCCAAAAACTTTGTTCTGTCCTTGCCTAGGCTATGCTGTCTTAGTTTGTATCTGTCTGCCCCATTTGACTAGAAGCTTCTTGAGGACTAGATCCAGTGTGAAACTTAGTTGTTGGTGGGCAGTGGATGTCCGGCAGAGGAAGACATCCTGCCTCCTCATTGCCACCACAGACACTACATCAGAGTGGCTGCAATTTCTTGGACCTCTGTGTTCTGCCACTCACTGGCATGCCCTGTGGTCTTGGGCAAATTAGGAAACCTCTCTGGGCCTTGGCCCCGTCCTCATCTATAAAGTGGAGATGCTAACAGCTGTCCACTTTATGGGGTGTTGTGAGGAATGAGGGAATCCACAGGTAAAAGGCTTAGGATGGTGTCTGGTTACAGTCCATCCCGAGTAAATGTAAGCGATTTCTCTGAGTTCCTGCTGCTGAGACAGGGAGCAATAGCAACTCCTGCCATTGAATACTTACTGTGGACTAAGTACTGGCCTGTGTAGGTTGGATTCATTCCTTAATTCTCATATCAAGCTTATTAAGTGGATATTCTTAGTATTCTGATTTTGCAGATTAGGAAATGAAGGCTCAGAGAAGTTGAATTTACTTTCACAAAGACACATAGTGAGTAAATGACAGAGCAAGAACTAGAGCCCACATCTTTTGAATCTAGACCCCACACTTCAACCACAAAGCTATCCCCTCTTCAGGCAGGGGTGGAGTCTTCGGTTCCCTGGTCTGTAGACCCTGGAATGACACTAGGTGCTGCTCCCTAGAAAGTAGTTGTTGCTTCTAAATGAAATGGAAGGAAACTGGCCAAAGCTCCTGCTCTGTCCATTAGCTTCTTTCCTGAAAGAAAGCCTGGTGCCTGGACTGTCAGACGCCCCAGCATCCTCTTCTGGGGTCCATGCACACCCAATTTTGTCTTTTAGTTTCTCTTCTCACTAGAGGTGCCTTTATATGTAAATGTTCAAAAGTTAACATTTTCATGGAGGACACCCTCTCCCCAGCTCCCTCTCTGTTCGTGGCACCTCCCATCCCATCTCCTATTTATTCTTACTTTACACAGAGTTCTATAATCTGGCTATCTTGTTTCTTATCCTGTGACAGATTTAAAGAAGCAAATTAGAAGTAGAGAGAGAGACTCCTATAGGCAGGGTCACAGAGATGATGTGTGGTGATTATAAGCCTGGGCTTTGGGGTCAGACTTATTGGGTTCAAGTGGCAGCCCTGTCACTTACTACGAATGGCCTTGGTCAAAGCTCTTGACTGCCTGAGCTGGTTTCCTAAACTGCAAAATTGGAATAATAAAAGGACGTACCTTGTGAGAATTAAATGAGCGAATACACAAAAAATCCTTAGCACAGTGCTTGGAGCACCATTAATGTTCCTGTTTTGTTATTGTTGTTATTTGACAGTCAACAGTGAGAGAGGAAACAATTACAAAAAGCAGACACAAGAATTTGAAGCACAGTAGTTTAGGGATAACACACCTCTGAGATCATAACTGGATAATACAGTGATAATCCTGAGTCATTGAGAAAACTTTAAATTATGTTCAGCATGCTTTGAGGAAGAATGCAGGAATTACGTATTTTTTTAAGAAGCCAGACCAAAATTGATTTTAAAAAAATTAGGATATAGTTAAGGCTGGCAAGATGGCCAGATAGGAACAGCTCTGGTCTGCAGCTCCCAGCGATATCAATGCAGTAGGTGGATGATTTCTGCATTTCCAACTGAGGTACAGGTTCATCTCACTGGGACTAGTTGGACAGTGGGTGCAGCCCATGGAGGGTGAGTCAAAGCAAGGTGAGGCATTGCCTCACCCGGGAAGCACAAGGGATGGAGGAATTTTCTTCCTTACCCGAGGGAAGTCATGAGGGACTGAGCCTGAGGAACTGTGCACTCTGGCCCAGATACTGTGCTTTTCCCACGGTCCTTGCAACCTGCAGACCAGGAGATTCCCTTCGGTGCCTACACCACCAGGGCCCTGGGTTTCAAGCACAAAACAGGGCAGCTGTTTGGGCAAACACCGAACTAGCTGCAGGAGTTGTGTGTTTTTTTTTGTTTTTTTTTTGTTTTTTTTCCTGTACTCCAGTGGTGCCTGGAACATGAGTGAGATAGAATCATTCACTACCCTGGAAAGGGGGCTGAAGCCAGGGAGCCAAGTGGTCTGGCTCAGCAGGTCCCATCCCCATGGAGCCCAGCAAACTAAGATCCACTGGTGGCCAGATGTGGTGGCTCATGCCTGTAATCCCAGCACTTAGGGAGGCCGAGGCAAGTGGATCACCTGATGTCAAGAGTTTGAGATCAGCCTGGCCAACATGGTGAAACCCTGTCTCTACTAAAAATACAAAAATTAGCTGGGTGTGGTGACAGGTGCCTGTAATCCCAGTTACTCAGGAGGCTGAGGCAGGAGAATCGCTTGAACCCAGGAGAAGGAGGTTGCAGTGAGCTGAGATTGCACCGTTGCACTGAGCCTGGGTAACAAGAGCAAAACAAGTCTCAAAAAAAAAGATCCACTGGCTTGAAATTCTCACTGCCAGCACAGCAGCAGTCTGAGATCAACCTAGGACACTCGAGCTTGGTGTGGGGAGGGGCGTCAGCCATTGCTGAGGCTTGAGTAGGAGGTTTTACCTTCACAGTGTAAACAAAGCCACCGGGAAGTTCAAACTGGGTGGAGCTCATAGCAGCTCAGCAAGGCCACTGTGGCCAGACTGCCTCTCTAGATTTCTTCTCTCTGGGCAGGGCATCTCTGAAAAAAAGGCAGCAGCCCCAATCAGGGACTTATAGATAAAACCCCCATCTCCCTGGGACAGAGCACCCAGGGAAAAGGGCAGCTGTGGGCACAGCTTCAGCAGACTTAAACTTTCCTGCCTGATGGCTCTGAAGAGACCAGCAGTCCTCCCAGCACAGCGTTCAAGCTCTGCTAAGTGTCAGACTGCCTCCTCAAGTGGGTCCCTAACCC